ATAGATGCGTAATATCATTACCTTTCATTGGGTATATTTTTTTCATAAATTTAACCCTTAACCTGCCCACAAGAGGGGATTTAAAATAACAACTTTTTCACAAAAAATTAATTTTTTTAACTTAAATTTTGAAAATGTTTCGGAAGGTCTGACACTTTTATATATATCTTAAATTAAAGCTAATGTAATATGCTTTATCATGAAAAAAAAAATTTCGGACTTTATCTTATCTTCATGGTGAAAATGGCTACCGAATGCTATTTTTGTGTGAAAATTTTCGATTTTGTATTTTCCATTTTTAACTTTATTATGCTATAACTTTTTGAAAAATGTATGAATCATTACAATTTTTTTATGAGAAGTAGTATTTATATAGATCTTTCATTCGACATACTGTTTTTTTAAATCGGACCATTTCCCTAAATACAGGGGGGATTCAAAACATAAAAATGCATATAGAAAGTAGAACTTTTTCAACGTAACTTTTGAAAGTGTTCCGGAAGGTCTGACACTTTTATATATATCTTAAATTAAAGCTAATGTAATATACTTTATCATGGAAAAAAAAAATTTCGGACTTTATTTTATCTTCAAGGTGAAAATGGCTACCAAATGCTATTATTGTGTGAAAATTCTCAATTTTATTTTTTACATTTTTAACATTATAATGCTATAACTTATTGAAAAGTGTATTGATCAATATAATTTTTTTATGGGAAATACTATTTTCTAATAATCTCTTTTTTATTCGACATACTTTGTCTTAATCAGGATATTAATAAGGAACTAGCAGTTTATGAAGCTTTTGGAATAATCCACCAATTTTTTAAAATTAAACACTATCTAAAGATTTGCATCGAAGCGTTTTTTTTTTGATAGTGATTTTAATCACTGTCAGATATCATTATACTTGATCCAACTATGCCATGTCACTACTGTGCCGCGACCCCCCTGTGCTGGGTTTTTTTATTTTATTTTGTATAAAATAAATAGATTGAATAATTAATTACCTTTTTCTTTCTCTGTTACTTTTATTACTTCAACAGTGGACAGAGCAAGAAAATTTACGTCATTTGGCGTATTTAAGGTCAAAGGATTATAACTAACTCTCGGCTCTAAAATAATTTATGTTTTAAAATATTACATATTTGTTTCAAAAATCAAAACGTTTATTATATTATTTTTTTTAATTAATTATATTTTAAAAGTTGTATACTTTTTATGACTTTTTCATCTTCTCCGGATGAATTTCTTTTTAAATTTGGTCGAGCAGTAGTATTAGAAGGTATCTCAAAGAGTTGCTTTTAGCTTCGATGCGAAGCTGAGAAGGTATTGGTTTTACTAAGATGTGTTTATTTTTTTATTTTTTTTTTTTTTGTCTCTGTTACCACTTTTTATCACTGTCAGATATCATTATACTTGATCCATCTATACCACGTCACACTGTGCCGCGACCCCCCTGTGCTGGGTTTTTTATTTCGGATTTTTTGCGTTCTAAGTTTTTTTTATGAAAACTCTTAACGGATCATAAAAATATATTTAAATATAGATAAATTTACTTAAAGCAGATTTTAAGTCCAAAAAATGGTTTAGGATATACCCTAAAATCTTTTTATTGAAAAAAAGCATAATAAAATATACCTTTCCTAACAAATCAGCTGGTATATTTAGCGGATTGTCTTTTGAAATTGCTATACTTTTTTTTTCTGTTGAATTTAAAATTTAATATATATTCCAGATTTTTCATTCTTAATAAGTGTTCCGAATTCTCCTCGCTGTATCAATTTCTAGGCAACCAAAGAGATATTTAAATAAAAAAATAAACTATATTTAATATTATATCTTCGATAAAAATTGAATTTCCCATAAAAATCTTATTGAAAAAAATAGTAGTCCTGAATAATATTAAACATTATGTTATCGCAATTATATTAAAGGGGTTGATAGTTTATTTTATATTTTTGAATCAGACAAACCCAATTCCATAGCTAAATCGAATACATTACAATTTTACAAAATTATAATTTAGAGATTTGTTAATATATATTAATATAATTATAGTTACCCATTTTTCTGAAATAATTTTATCATTTTTTTCGTTTTATGATACGTGCGTTTTTTTGGAATAATAGAATTTGTTATAGGACAAATATTTTCGTTGATAATTGCTGCAAATTGAATATAATTTTAGTAATTATTAATTAAATAATCAATTTCGAAAAAAGTTTTTTAATATTAAAATAGTTAAATTAAAGTAATAGCAACTGAATTATTGTTATATATCAATAAGAGAACTTATTATTAATTTTTCTTATATTTTATATTAAAAAACTTTTTCTCTATTCGAAATAATTAGTTTAATTATTAATCTTAATAGTGTTTATAGATAATCCTTCCACCTTTAGTGAACTTTTTTGATATTTGTCCTTTATTTGGATTATTTAAAACACAATTGGAATGCATGAAACGACGATTCCATATTTCTTCAACTCTGCGTATGACCTTATGTAAGTTTGTTTCATTTGTTTGACCAAAAATATTTTTTTCACTTGCCATATCAATAACTAATTAAATAAATCTTTATACTTATACAAGACGATAGTTTGTTTTTCACGGGAAAAAACGAACTGAACTTAAATGTCGATAAAATCAACATTTACATCTAATTGTCAAAGAAACTTAATTGTAAAAATTCATTAAAAAAATGTATAAGCCAATTATAAATAAATTTAGTATAAAGAATACTTATTTATTTTTATTTTATTATTGGTCAAAGAATACAATATGTTAAGAATTTATTACAGAGAATTATCAATATATATATATATATATATATATATATTTTTTTTTAAAGATATTTTGAATAAAAAATTTTTGAATTTGTTTATTTATTACATTAGTTTACAAATGATACAGATTTTTTTATGAAAGTTCAAGTGGAATAAATTTGATATCGGTTAACAGAATATTTATACATATAAAATTTAATCTGATGAAATAAAATATCAACGTTTGGATTTATTCTCTTGCAACTATTAAAAATTTTTGCCCGTGTGACATTGCTATTACCATTTAGTTATTAATAAAAAACGTCATGCCATGCAATTGTAATCAACATAAAAATTTATTAAGTTGAATATATAATATAGTTTAACAATTTATGACATAATAATTAATGACATAATAATTCCCAGCTGGTACAGGAGTGGAAATGTCATCAGCAATATTTGATACTCTAGAAAAGTGGTAGCTTACTAATAAAGTTCAAGGCTTTATATTTGATATGACAGCTTCCAATACAGGAAGACTTCATGGTGCTTGTACTTTATTGGAACAAAGATTAGGGAGAGAAATGCTGTATTTTGCATGTTGCCATCATATTTTTGAGTTAATACTTCAGTCTGCAATTAATGTAAACGTGTCGTGCAATTTTTAAACGATTTAAAAATACATGGGTGGGATTAAACAAAAACAATATGTTTGTGGAATTCAAATAATTATATGCAACGCATTTTATCTACTGTTTATAAAGAAATATTATTGTTTTGTTTAAAAGCAGTTACAGTAAAACAACTACGAGATGACTACAAAGAATACATTGAATTAGTGATTATTTTACTCGGCGGAACTCCACCTGGTGGGCTAAATATAAGACGACCAGGTGCTTATCATCAGGCTAGGTGGATGGCGAAAGGAATATATTGTTTAAAAATATTTTAATTACGGATAGAGTTCAAACTTACAAAAATGGAAGAGCATGCGCTAGAAAGAATTTGTACATTTATTATAAAAGTATACATAAAATCTTGGGTTACATCTACCACAACAAGCGAAGCTCCCATGAATGACATAAACTTAATACGAACTTTATATGCCTACATAAATGATGACAAAGAGATTGCAAATGCATGCCTCTCGAAATTTTTAAACCATTTGTGGTATTTAATAGCGTTTTCTATTTTCGATACAAGACTCCTCACAGAAATAAAAAAAGATATTGTGGCCAAGATTAATGATTTGAGTTTGGAAAATGAATTAGAAGAAGACGACGAATTAAGTTCAAAGAAATTGTCACTTAAAATTGAAAAAGTAAACAGTCCTTAAACTTATTCAAAAGATATGGTATTAACACAGAGTTTTTAGATATAGACCCAGCTAACTGGGAAAAAGACTCCTTCTATATATTAGGAAAAAAAATTGTAGATGGACTAAAAATCGTCAATGACAGTGCTGAGAGAGGTGTTAAACTCATGGAAGATTACAACAACAAACACACCAAAAATGAAAATCAAAAACAATTCTTATTACAAGTAATTTAAATAGCGATATATTTGTAATATAAATATTTAGCTTAACTTACTTTTAATTTTTATTTAAGGTAGTTCAAAAATACAGAAAAACGTATCCTGAGTGTACAAAACAGGCTCTAGAAACTCCGTTCAAAATATAATTAATTTGATACTTAACTAAAGTTTTTAATCAGAAATAAATTTATACTTAATAATTTTTTTTTAAATCGATAGTTCGCATTATGTGAGTGTAAAAAAAATTAATTCTGTTTGTATTTTTTTGTTATTTTCGCCAAATGATAAGACAAATTTTGCAATAAAAAATAATAAAATCCTTATAAAATAATTGAATTAAGTAATAGTGTTAACGCTACTATTAGAATAGGAAATAAAAATTTTAAAGTACATATGAACAAATTAAAAAAATATTTTTCTAAAGCAATTAACTCTATTAATATCAATAAATTTATTTAATCTATACTAAATTTACTTGAACACTTTTTATTTTCTCTTACAGTTAATCATTGCTTTTAGATCAATGGGAGTGTTACTTTTGATAATATAAAAGATATTCCTTTTGATAATGATTTTAATTAATTTTAGTCATTACTTTTATCTAAAGATATCAAAATTCAATTAGGTGTAATTAAAATTTCAATAAAATTAAAAAAATGTGTGCAGAAATACATAATAATTATTTAATTAATATAAAGAATGTGAAATTTAATTGTTATAATAAATATTGTCTATGGAATTCTAACTTTTAAACATAAAATTTTATAAAGGAATATATATATCTATATATATATATTTTATACTTATTTTCATAACAATTATAAATTTTTCATAATAAGAGTTGTACAAAAGTTATTTACTATGTCAGAAATATTTATTGACGATACATTTAAAAAGGCACTTGTATTTTATTTACTCAATACCTATAAAAAATAATGAACCAATAAGTTCATACTTATTAGAGGCAATATGCTATTTTAACCATAAGATGTGTTAAGTAGGAAAAATGATGCATGATTAATGTATTCGTAAAAATATATAAAGATGAATAAAATATTAATATTTTTTTAATAAAATAAAATAACGACATTTAGAAAGGCTATATACAAAAATAGCGGTTTTAAAAAAAAATCATGTTTGAGTATCGTATTCCAGACTTAATAAATTAATTAGAATAAAAACATAATATCCAATAAAAATAATGGCAATTTTAAGTAAAAAAATTGAAAAAATGTTAAAAATTAGTGATTTTTAAATTTGTAATTTTTTTGGAGATTTCCCCCATTTACGGGGAACGAGGGAAATTTTTTCAATTTTGGAGGGTAATGTCTTCGACTAAATACGATTTGTGATCATTTGACGTATCGTTGAAAGAAATCGGTTTGGTGAGAGCTGAGAAAAAATGGTAACAGACACAAAAAAAAAAAAGATATCATACTAAAATTAATACTTTCTCTGCTTTGCATCGAAGTTAAAATGCATAATTATATTATTATTTTTATAATAATTTTTCATTATATTCGTGTACTTTTTATCATATTTAATGGGTTAAACTCCTTAAAGCTTTCTCCTCACAATTTCGCTTTTACCCTAGATCTGTTACTAAGTGTTATAATCGTCGATAGTTTTTTATAGATATAGTTCAATACTACAATTGATATCTACCTATTTCTTAAATTAGTTAACTCTTATATTGTCAGACTTAATGAAGGTAAATAACTCATTTTAGTTATTAGTAATTTATATTATCTCAACAATTTTCAGCATGCAACATATTACATAGAATCTTGAGATATATCGTTTTAATATATTTTATTTGATACTTGGCACAATGCTAGTTAAAAAATTGTTTTTCTTTATATAATTTCAACAAAATAGTAAAAACTTAGAATTGTGGCAGTAAATGCAAATAATTTAATCATACTGTGATTAAAATGTTCAAAAAGAATAATATATTTTATGTAATGTTTCTTTCCATAAAATAAGTCTTTGAGGGTTTGAAATTTTAATAAAAAAACTTGAACTTTTCTTCAATTATATTCAAAAATTAATTTTTGCGAATTGAATATTTTTTTAATAATTATATTTTGGTAATATTCTCTTTAATTAAAAAAATACTGTTTAAAACAATGCAATTTTGCTAAGTGAGGGAACATGACACACTGTACGCTCCCTGGTGGCCAATAGTTCAAATATTTAAATTTTTATGTTGACTTTTCGTCGTATTAGTACATTAAGTTTACAGAGTAATTTGAATTGTGAAAATTGTTTTACATGCTTTGATTTTTAAAATAATACTTATAAAAAATGAAAACACAGGATACTCGACTTTGAGTATATTGTGGTCGATAAATTTTGCCACCTACCCAGTATAATTTTTTTTTTGAAAGTTGTTTAAATTTTAAAACACACGCTTACAAAAGCGTCTTACTACTCCAAATCATTGGTGTAACTAGATGAAGGTTTTGTGAACTTCATAATTTTGGCGTCTAAGTTTAAAAGTAGCCCTTTAATAATCATTATTTCTAGATCTTTGTATATCTTATTTATTTATTTGGTGTAAACACCCAGGCGCGCTCAAGTACAGTGACAATAAAATATATAATAAACATTGTTGAAATAAAGATACAAGAGATAAATAAAGATATAAATTATTATTTTATCTTTCATTATGTTTAAAATATATTTGAGACACATTAAGTAATATAGAAACATACATAGAACGTTAGTTTATCGTATAAACATTTTGTAGTAATTTTTTATGGCTATTTTAGTTGAATATTTTTATTTTTAAATTAAAATTTGTAATATATTTCAATTTTATGAATCTAAATAATTTTTATTAAAACAAAAAGATTTTAAAATTCTGAGTAAAATGATCATTATTTTTTCACTTGTGTTTTACAAAAATATGATCTTATTACATAAATCATTACTTATCCACTGAAAAAGTTATAAAAACTTATTTTAAAATACAAAATGTAATTTAAATAAATAGATTAGATATTGCTTTGAATTGTTTACTCTGTATTTTTAATTTTGATTACATTTATAATAACAGCTATTCAGTAAAAACTATTACGTTGAACTTGCTAGTGTCGTAATGAATATCACAATAAGTAATTTCATAGTTTTTTTAACATATACAAATTTTATAGTTGCAATTAACTTAATTGAATTGCACTGTAATTTGTCAAAATACATGTTTAATTATTTCAAGTACGGTGAAAAATATTTATATCAATTTGAAAATAACATTTCTGAACTTGAACTAAGAAAATATGGATTAGCAATCAAATCTCACGATGAAATCATAATGATCATGTTAGATGCGTTGCGAGAATTGGATGAAACCTACTGGGCAGAAGATTTAATAACTGTAAATTTATACTTAAATAATGTTTCGGGATCTTTAAACATGATCGCTAAAAATGAAAATGGCCAATTCAGTAGTTCTGAAAGCTCTCAGAATTTACTTAAAGGCTATAAAATAATTCATGAATCAATTGTTGAACAATTACAATACTTTTTTAATAACCAATGCTCAGATGTATCGCTTGAAAATGATTTCATATCATACACTGATTTTAATCTACCGATTAGTTACATGCCAGATAAGTTACTTAATAACTTGGGAAACCTAAAAAACCGACTATTTATTGTTATGGAAGAATATTTATTATGGTACAAAGTTAATGATAAAGAGATATTAAACAGTTACACTGATATTGTGAAACATTTAGCTTTGTCTTTTCAAAGGAAATCATATAATAATTTTAATCCTAAAAATTTCTTATTTTATGATTTAATGGAAAACCGATCTAATTTTTGCTAGCTTGAATTATCGTCAGGCTCTCAGGCGAAACAAAAAGCCTTGTATGATGAAAACAATAATCTAAAGGATGTATTGGACATGTTGAGATACTCTAAAATTAATGGTAAGAGTAGCAATTATTATAATATAAAAATGTTAGATATTTTTCGATTTTTCAAGTATGATTTTAACTCGAAAAACATGCAGGTGTATCATAATTTCATAAATGCAGCAACAGTTCTTCCTATTATAATAACTATACGATATTATTTTCATTTAGTATATAAATACATACCAATTAAAAAATGTTGTGACCCCAACTATAAGAATGACATGAAAGTTAAAATTATTAAATTGGGCAAACATATCATTGAAAATTTTAAATCTTTTTTGGATTTGAATTTATATAGAGATCAACTTAGAAAATGTTTGGACAGTTTCTATGATAAGATAAACTATATAGTATCAATATACAAAAAAAATAATAATTTAGTTGCTACTAATGATGAATCAAAAAAAATTGTAAAAATTTTGAATATGTGGACGAAGGTTAATTATTTCAGTTGTGACTTTGATAAACCAGTTATAATTAATGAAGATAATGTAAAGAAAGCTTATAAATTAATAAATGATCGTTTAGATGAAATTAGATTATACATTAAATCATTGAAAACATATCGGCATTGTTTTGAGATTGTAAATAGATACATTCCAAAAGCACAAATAGATTGGCAAAGATTTAGAACTACTATCAAGCATAATATTCCATTTGGTAAGTTTACAGGCACTGTTCAAGCGAACGCCAAAAATACGGTCAGTTGGTATTGGTGTTCCTACACTGGTAACGGGTGGTTATGTTGCGGCGTTATCAGCTCATAAGCGTCCCGCCAATTTTGCTCACGATCGGCGTGTGTTGCTAGCGTCTCGTCTCTTTGTATTCGTTATGTGCATGTATAACGTGCGGTAAGCGTCTCGTCGTTGTTGGTTCAGATCTGAACGTCTGTTTTAGTTTTTTTTTATGTATGTGTTTTCGTTCTGAAATACTATATCCATGTGTGCGGTGTTATTTTTGAGATTACAAGCAACTTATCTCGTAGTAAGGCTTTCTTGCTAGCCAGTTCTATAGAATCATTTTCCACTGCAATAATTGTGTGCTCTGCCAAAAGCAATCTTTATTGTTCTACGTCCAAGCGGCTCAGCTTCAAGTATCGCTATCCTCGCTTTATATATATATATATATGTATATATATATATTTGAATTGTAATATATGTTATGGTATAAATTGTGAAATATGTCTGTGTACATTTAATTGCAATTAAAGGTGACTAATTTAGTATCGTTGCCGCCAACCACTAGTCAGGAGCGGCACGGTCAAACAGGCACGAAACCAGGTTTTTTCATTATTTAACACGAAAGAATGAAACGAATTTTTACAATGTGATTATAAATTACAACTATTAAGAGTTTGTATAGAAATGACTATAGGCTTTTAAAGAATCAGATTTACAAGAGTATAACATCTTGAAAATTCGAAATATTAGTTATTTAGAAAGGATAAATGTTAATAAAAACATGATTGCTCAGTTATTAAATTCACTAAATACCTTCTTTAATTTGTAATGTAAATCGTAAAATTATAAATTCTGTAATATTATAGCGTTAATAAAACTATTTTAATCGGAAAAAACTTAATATAATAAATTTTTATAGAACTTATTTAAAAGAATTAAAAGAGTTCACCTAATACAACTAAAAAATTATTTAAAAATAAAATGATCTGATTTATCTAGGATGGCCTATTATTTTCTTGCTAGAAATATTTTATTATAAATATATTATTAGTTTTCTGTCTAGAGGCACATGAGATAGCACAGTAAAATTGACAACGATTTACTGTATTTATAGCTGAGATAGAGAGCTTAGTCAAAAGAAGTTAATTAAATAAATTATTGTTATATATATACATTTAAATTAAATCAAATATTCAATGTTTATTTTAAATGATTTTTCGTCATGTTACATACAAAGTAATAAGTTTTCAATTTTTTTTTTTTTTACATGAATATTATTCATTATTAATATAAACATAAATTATAATTAATTGTAAACCTTAATTCTAATTCTTATTTCTTTGTTTAGAACAATTAGGATATTATGGAGATATTTATCATTCACTTTATTTTCATGATGATAATACCAATGATAATATAAGCTATTGCAATCAAAGCTTAAGTGAAGAAAATGAATGCGATGAAGAAATTAATGATGATAATAGGGATGTTGAAATAAAAAATCAGACATATAAATCTCCTATATATCTTGTAGATTATTTACTTTTTGCATAATATATTATATATGTACAGAATGTTCAGTAAGTAAGGAAATGGGTCAATTGTTATCAAAAATGAAAACATTAGAAAGCCATTTTCTCACTTACTGAACAGTCAATATAATATTATCTCTTCCTTCAATAAGGACTTTGTTTATTTCTAATAATTTTATCTATCCCATTATTCTATTTTAATATAATTTTTAATACTAACATACTAATATTAAAGCACTATTTAATAAAACTCAATATTATTACAATATTCAAATAAACAAAAGAGCTCATACTAAAAAAAAATAATTTAAACCTAACAAAAAAAAACCTTAATAATAAATTATAATTTAAGCGATTCTTCACTGAAACCCAAATTGAATAAATGGGAAGTTTAGACTGTAGATTTTAAATATCACTAATTTAAAAAACAAAAATATATTCACAGAATGTTAAGTTAGAGAGCTTAATTATTTGTTTTATTATTATTTTAGCATCGATGCGAAACTAAGGGGGTATCAATTTTATAATGATGTTTATTTTATTTTCTCATCTCTTACTGAACCCACTTTTTTCAAAGATACGCCAAAGATCACAAATCGTTTATAGTTTAAGCCATCGCTCACAAAAAAATAAAAAAATTTTCCTTGTTCATTGTAAATGGAGGAAATTCCACCAAAAAATTACTATTTTTAAGACCAGAGGTCTTGATAAACATTATAGATTGTCTAGATACTACCAAGTACTTCCAGATTTTCCTGTGTTGTTCTCTGCACCAATTCTTGGGTAGCGCTTTGAGCGATCGCTCATTGAGTCCTACCACTGGTTCTGGTCCAACATAGGTGTTCTCTGCTCCTTTCCTGGCTAGAAAGTCAGCATTCTCATTTCGAGTGACACCGTTGTATCCCGGTACCCACGCTAGTGTAACTTTGTTGAACCTCGATAGTGATTCTTTAGTTTCCCTGCATTCAAGGACCGGCTTTGAAGGCACTCTATAACGATCAGGTGAATTCAAAGCCGCTTGATTATCACTTAAGATAACTATCTTCCTATTTTTGTATACCAGCAAGTTCTGAGCCCCTACCAATATCATCATCATCTCTGCTTGGAAAACAGAGGGTATTGTGCCCAATGACATACTTACATTTATTCGTGGCTTTAAACCCCAAGATCCAGCACCTGCCTTTCCTGATTTTTTGGATCCATCTGTATATATCACAAATCCTCCTTTTTTAGTCAGGTGGTTAATATTCTATTCTCTACGTGTAGTGATCTTCACTTTGTAGGGAATGTTATTTTTAAGAACCGGTTTAATATAGAACTGTGGGGGTTAATGATGGCTCGTCAGGAAGTGATGTGGGACCTGAAATTTGAGGGTCAAGTAATAAAGTAACAATTAATTAATAACCACTAAGTATTTTTATTGATACTAGTAATAACACTATTATTAACAGCAATACAATATATTTTAATCAATATTATTAGTCAATGTGACATATAGAAAGACGATTATTGAATTAATCAGTCTCTAATTTCGCGTTCTCCTGCCCCGTGGTCCTTGGCCTTCCATGACTCCTGAGCTGCGACCACTATCGGCGACTCCTCTCTCGTAGATGGCCCAGAGTAGAGGGTTGGCGCGGATCTCCCATAACTCCGCCCGCCTTGCCCTCTCGACCGTCCATTCCGTCGGAACGTCGTCGGCGGGTTCCCCCATTAAGGTGGATACCCNATCGTCGGCGGGTTCCCCTATTAAGGTGGATACCCCTCTCCTCATCTTCCGCATCACGCTTCGTATCATCGCGACGACCTCTGCAGTGGCGGCGCGTGATGGGCGATTGGGTCGGTATTGGCCTCCCGATCGCCTGGAGCGTTGTCTTGAGACCGTCGGCTGGTGATCTGCCATTCTGTAACCAATCAAAATCGTTAGAGTACTCCAATTGAGCTGCACGTTTAAGGGCCGAACGTGAAGCTTCAACTGACTTTTACCTTTGGTAACATAGACCCCCTCACCTAATCTTTTACCAATTTGCACTGGACCTAGCCATTTTGGTGCAAAACCCGCATGAAATTTCTTTTCAGAGCTAGACAGGGGATGTGCGCGGTAATAAACCCAATCCCCTTCGATCTAGGTTATTTTTTAGCTGGGTAGGTCTGGTCCTGCGATGACTTTTACCGAAGTTCAATCCGAGTTCATCGGAGGGTTGCTCCCCCCCCCCGGAAAAATTTATTTTTTCACCGGACCGTCCGGTGTTTTCAGATTTTCCCGGTTCCTCTGTGGAAAATTGAACTTTTTCCGGTAATTCTTCGGTAAAAGTTTCTGTTCTACTGGACAATTCCTCCTTTCTTTGGATCTTTCCTAAATTGTCCGGAATTTTACCCGTAGAACTGATGTCCAGTAGCCAATCACCGGGAGCTTTTGCTTCACGTCCAAAAGCTAAGACTGATGGTGTGCATCCCGTCAGTCTGTTCCTGCGGTTTCTCACTGAAAAAAGAATACTTGGAATGCAACTGTCCCACTGGCTATGTGGTTTTTCAATCAGCGCAGTCCGTAATCCTTTTTTCAAGTCCTGATTTCGGCGCTCAACTGGATTTGCCCTGGGGTGATAGATCGGTGTCGTCCAACCTTGTGTTCCCCACTTCTCCAGTGCTTTCTCCATTGCTTTGGAGACAAATTGCGTTCCGTTGTCAGACAAGAGCGCTCGAGCGTAACCGAAACGTGAGAAGAACTCTCTTTCTAACGTATCGGTGATTGACTTGGTAGTGGCCTGGCCAAGTGGATAGGCCTCCACCCATCTACTATAGCAGTCCGTTGCTACTAGTAGGCATGTTTTCCCGCGCGCAGTCCTGGGATATGGGCCCATAAAATCAATACTTATACCTCCCATGGCTGGCGTGGCTTTCTCGGTGTCATCGGATCTTACGGTTTCCGATTCAAAGGCTTGACACATGCGCAAATGTGACACCTCGCGACGTATTGTCTCACCGATTCCCTAATACCGTTCCAGTAGAAACGCTTACCGATGCTACGGTAGGTTTCTTTCCAACCTGGATGCCCGGCTAGTTCATAGTCATGATACCTCCATAGTAGGTGATCAGCCATGTCCGACGGAACGACGATGATGTTTTCGCCGGATCCCTCAGGTCCTTTTAGTAAAATATCGTTTTTCAGGTGATATTTACCGAGAATGTACCGTGGAATTGTATTTTTACCCCGGAGTGTCCGAACATTTTCGGCCAAACTTTTGTCTTCGGTTTGCCACTGTATAATGTCCGAAACACTTATATTTTCCGGGTGGTTTCCGTCAAATATTGCCCCTATGTGATCTTCTCCGGAAAAATCATCCGTTGATGGTGGATCATGGAACTTTTCGTCCAAACTTCCCTCATTTACCGGTACTTGATCCACGGGGCTCCTCGACAACGCATCTGTGGCTTGGTTTTCGACTCCAGGCACATGTTGGATGTTGAAGTCGAACGATCTCAGTTGTAACGCCCAACGAGTAAGCTTACTGTTGGTGTCCCTGGTGTGATGAAGCCATTTGAGCGCTAAGCTATCGGTAAGTAATGTAAACTTACCGGTCTCTAAGTATGGACGGAAACGATCAACGGCCCACACTATGGCTAAACACTCTCGTTCGATGGCAGAGTACCTTGTCTGAGCGGGAGAAAGTTTTCGGCTGGCATATGAGATAACCCTTCTCTGGCCGGTTTCTTCCCGCTGGAACAGTACGGCACCTACTCCTACTTCACTTGCGTCCGTTTGTAGAAAGAACGGTTTACCTCGAAGTGGAGAACAGAGTTTAGGTGCGGTAGCCAGCGCTTCCTTGAGCTTGTAGAATGCTTCTCGCTCCCGTACTTCCCATCGCCATTTAATTCCTTTTGCTAAAAGATCTGTTAACGGTGCGGTGACTTCAGTGTAGTTTGAAACAAACTGACTATACCAACCACATACCCCGAGAAACTTTTGCAAATCTTTTACCTTTTTTGGTTCAGGAAAATCGGCGATTGCGATTAACTTTTCTGGTTCCCGATCAATTCCGGTTGAATCAACAATGTGCCCGAGAAAATTGATCTGTGAAACCCCAAAATTATTTTTTTTTGGTTGAACAGTTAACCCATGTCTTTGTAACCGTTCTAGGACTCGTTGTAGGTGATTGAGATGTTCGTCCATACTCAATGAATACACCACAATGTCATCCAGGTATACAAACACAAATTTACCAACGTATTCACGCATAACCTCGTTCACCAACCGTTGAAAAGTAGCCGGGGCGTTTTTAAGGCCGAAGGGCATTACTTTAAATTGGTAGAGGCCCATCTGTGTGCGAAACGCGGTGAGTGGTCGTGACGCTGGTGTCAGACCTACTTGCCAATAACCGGACTTCAGGTCGATGGTGCTGAAGACGTTAGCGCCACCCATCCCTCTGACCATGTCATGTAAGTCGGGCATTGGATGTGCGTCGGACTCCGTCTGAAGATTGAGTCTTCGGTAGTCGACGCATAACCGCTGAGAGCCATCTTTCTTTTTAGTGAGAACTACGGGAGCTGCCCATGGTGAGGTACTTGGTTCTACAAACCCTTGCTCCTCCATTTCTCGCACCATATTAGAAATGATGTCCTGTTTCTCACGATTATATGGGTGGGTATGCATTTAAGGCCGCCGGCGTATTTTTGTTTAACCGGATATCATGTTCAATGATACGGGTTCTTCCGACTTCCCCGGAGAAAACTTTAGGGTACTTTCGTATAATTGACCGCACATCTTCAGGATACTCTCCTTCCGGTATAATTACTTGTTGAACAGACCCTTTCTTCGATTTATGTTTTCTCCAGCACACCGTTGTACGTTTTTCAGTACCCATGTGAATGGTATACGTCTGGTAATCCCTTGATACTTCCTGTTTCACCAAAAAGTCATGTTCTTGGAAGATGTCCCCAATCAAGTGGTCGAGTACTGCGGCTCTGAACGTCACCTGAAGTTCAGACACCCTTGCTGTGAATTCAGCGTACTCGTGAACCTGCACGGTCCGGTTGTCAGCCATAGTGACCACATGTGGTTCTTCTTCTACCAATTTCCCATATTTGCGTGCTACCCACGGTAAAACGTAAGATTTCGTGGCTTGAGAGTCTAACGGCGCAACAACTATTCCCGTAGGGAACTCCAGTTCAATTGCCGGTAATGGCACATTGTAATTTTTTGGTGTCCCGGTTGATGTCGCTTTTTTACCGTTCTTGGTTGGGTTTGAATGACGCATGG